TGTTGTACCGAACTTCTATGCTGCCACATCTATGGCCCCTGTCTCCACCAACCCGGATCCGACACAGGATGTGGAGGCTCTGGTCCAGCAGCGGACCGACACGGGGCTCTACATGAACACGGGCACGTGACATATCAGCAGCTGTGAGCGTGTGTAACATTCGGGGAAGGATTATGTTTCAAAGACATTTTTTTTTAAACAAGCCCATTCGCACACACACACGCACCACTGTTTGCCCAAAACATGTTTTCCATCTTCTGCCATCCCATTAGAGAGAGAGAAAGAAAATATATATTTATATAATAAAAGTAAATAACAAAACGAAAAACACAACAATCAAACCTAAAAGGGAAATGGGATTTTCAATTATTAAACACGGGACAAAGCACTGTAGACCAGTGCAGCTGTGTTGGTTTGCTCAGTCTATCACGTGGTAAATATCAATTCAGAGCTCACGGTGAGCCGACTCCAAAATCAACAGCAATTCATTTCGAGCGCACAGTCGGTGAGATCGGCAATAAAGGTCCTTGCCGTCGCCTCCACGAAGGGGCAGGGCGTTCCCTAAGACGATAAATGGACCGCATAGCCGGGTGGCCGTAGGGTGGATAGGCATCGGCCCTTGTGAAATGAATGCGTTTTGGGTCCCCCTGTTTGTCATTCACCGCCTCTTCGTGGCTCGGCCCGTGGGGCCCTGTGCAGTTGCACCGCCTACACACTCACCAATGTTTATAACCGTGGCCACAGTTAAGCCAGCCTTTTTTTGCCTCCGTTTAACAGTCAGTAAATGTTTGCAGACAAAGTCCACGTGATTTAATCCAGACGATTTAGTCCTTCCTGAAATGTCTGTGTGTACTTTCAAAATCCCATCCCCATCAACAATGTTTAAGACCAACTCCTCGTTTTTGTGTCCAGCCGAATCCACAGTAGATTTATTATTTTATATATGCTGGTCTTGACAGAGAATGGTCATGTACATATGTGCAGGACCCTCCTGGAAAAAAAGTCGTGAGACACGGTGAAGCTTTCCCGAGGTATACAATTGCAATTGTTTTTGGTATTTAATAGACATGTACCGTACACTATTTTCTGTGTATGCATGGATCCTGTGAGCAGCATGCCTCCGATGTTTTGCCCACGCATGTCTGCTCCGAATTACAGTAATCAAGCATTACCCACAACAGCGTTACTCGCCATTTCCGCCCCCCCCCCCCCCCCAGAGACTTTTGGCATCTGAACAACTGCTGCCCCTAACCCCTGTCCACGCCACACGCCCCCAGTGCCTATCCTCAACTCTGTTTCAGCAGCCTCGTTATTGTCATCAGTAATGGTCGATCCTGGATGGCATCCTCCCCAAGTCGCCGCCACCTCTCAAGACCCTGCGACGTAAAATCCGAAAAAGTGCAACCAGCACCGGCGCATGAGCCGATGTCATCGGTGCGTTTGCCTCGGTGGAGATACTCCACTCGGATACGGTTTGCACGGTTGGCTACGTACGGTGCGAAAGAAGTTCAACATACATACATTCCATTTCTTGGCTGCTACTCTGTCATTATGCTTGACCATCGGCCGCCCTTCTAGCTCTGTATGAAAGGTAAAGGCGCATCCCTGCAATTGCCTGCTCACGCCACTGCTTGCAGAAGGGCCTCCTTGAAATGAGGTCACCTCGAGAAGGAGTTTTGACCGACTCTTTTACCCGCTGGTCATACATCTTGGAAGGGTACCCACGTTTTACCCCACCACGCACGATCTGCCAAACGACTATCTGTAGCGTGGTAATTTTATATCATTTATACAAATGTAAACTATACCAGACGAGGGAGTTAACATCTCATCACCGTGGCGCCCATTATTCACAGAGGTCGAGGAATGGATGGAGGGAATTTACGAAACTCCAATAATTTGACTGCCGCATCTGGAGATCGAAAAAGCGACCTCTGGATTTCAAGTCCAATGTGCTCACCGTTATTACGACCAGGCCAGCGTCCCTCCCTCTCTCTCTTTCTATGAATAGTTTTGAATTCCTACCAGAGCACCAATTCCGGTGTGAACGCGATCATACGGACGACAGAAAGAAGAAGAAAAAAAACCAGCACATGTTGCTGCAGTTCAACCAGAGGGAATTAACTACGTGCCATTAAGATTCTTCGCATTCCACTGAGGTTACATTTTCCACAAAGTTGACTCCCAGAACGCCTGGGACTTTATACTGCAACAAAAAGTTTTCTACTTCTTACCCAACATTGGTGCAACTCGTTCTTTCGTGCACACGCTTATTGGTGTGAGGCCGTGTCAAAGGTTCTCCTCTAAACTTGTCTCAGCATGGGGGGTTTTGTTGCGGATTTCATATTTCGCGTAAAGTTGGCGGTCCCAGTGGCTCGCGTGTACATTTACCGCCATCTCGCGGTCCGCAGGAGCGAATGACATCTCCAACGTCGGCTACATTTATTTGTTTGTACTGTGCCGCGTATCAACATTCATTTTAAACAAAACTATTAACAACCTTGAACACGTTTTTGAGTTTCCACGACGCAACGGGATTATCATTTAAACACGGCCACCGCAATGAAAACATAGCCACCAGTCGTACTAAACATACAACATCCCACTAAACATACACCCATGTTGTGTGTTTACGTATACGAGAAGCCAACATGATCTGAAGACGCACAGATGTATTATTTGGCCACACTGCTTCTGCAGTGATGTACACTAAAAACCTCAACACGTCTCGTCAATAAAACTGTGGCCTTACAGGACGCAAAAATATAATAGACACAAAAAGCCCTTCCAAAGTCAGCCAGTCAAAATGTCCATCGGTCCTTCCGCGACAGGAAATCACCCATGTTATTGATTTTAATTACAATGTTATTAATGCATTGTGAGCTTTCATGGATTGATCGGAAATCGAGCATAAATGCCATCTTGTCCCCACGAGAGGGAGTTCTTTACCCGACTTGGTTACGATTTCCTCCGCCCCCACTACCCCCTCGCTTGAACTAACGTCACATTTTCTAAAGTTTAACATTTTGAAGCAATGGTCAGTAGGGGACGGCTGTATGTTGACACAACTCGCGAGCCACACGCACGCAAGCTGAATGAACACAAAATGTAAAACAAAAAAATGTAATCCCATTTAAAACTTGTATTATGTTCTATGGTTCTCTCGGTAAAGTCACGTAGATATAAAAAAACAATAACAATAAAATAATTAAAATAATTGTTATTATTTTTTCTATCTACGTGACTTTACCGAAAGAACCATAGAATATGAATTCCTGCAGTCCCGAAAGTTTTAAGTCAAAATACTTGTATTATTATACGTGTTCTCCTCGGACACAAAACACCCATCTCTTTGAGACGCAGCTCCATATCAGATGGTCGTACAACATTCCAAATGGTGCGTTTCATAGATTGATCCATTTAAAAATACCGCAGAGAACCACACTTTACTTCAAAGCCTCGACAGGTCTCCCATTCTTCTCAATACCCCGATGAGGTCAATCAAGACTCTCCTCTGTAACATATGGAGCCATCTCCCACCTGTTGAGTAGGGGATCGTGAGAAATCAGTGGGGTGCCTATGTACGGATCGCCTTGTGTAACTCATGGCAATCAGTCGCATATTATGGATTCCTCAAGTAAAGGCGCCAGTTGAATCCCTGTCATTTGTAGATCAACTCCCCCCCTCCCACCACCATAAAATATTCAGCCAGAAAGTTTTCTGTGGTCAAACTTCGACTAACAATCAGAAAGTCGTAAATTCAAATGGCAGTCAAGGGTTGACTTTAGCCCCCGATATCTGCATGGCCGAAATAAAAGTGGCATTTTGTGGGATGACGATAGTGCTCTTCCTACGGATGGACAGGGCCATGTCAGGGGAATGTGGAATTTTCACCACTGTCTTAGGGCTGCTACGGGAGAAGTGCATCTCCCCTGCATAGTGAACCACACATTCACGAAGCGAAATCGAGACTTTGGTATTTGACCAAGAAACTGTGAGAGAAAAAGTCAGTGGGCTTGGACAAAACACGTGACATGGCAAGGAATGATGGCGAATGGTGAAGAATAGTCACAGTGGCGGCCAAGAACCAGAGCACATCGGAGAGCACCTCCGCCGCGGAGATGGAGTGACGAATTCAGCTCGTGGGTGCAGGTGCTCGGTGGATTGGCATAATTTCAGAAACGTGAAAGGCGGCGACGGCTTGGGGAGGCCTTCATCCAGCAGTGGATTGACCTTGGCTGCCGATGATGATGATGAAACATAGGAAGTAATTTAATTTGAGGATGGGGGGGGGGGGACATGTGGTTAGAAAAGTGACCGTGAACTGATTTCCACAATTCCCTTCCGAGCGAGAATCAGGTTCAGAGCGCTGGGGCCCCTGTCACCTCAACTCACCCCTTCCACTCCGTCCGATGCACCGGCGGCGACGAGCCGGCGATAACGGAGTCACCACCGACCCGCCAACGGCAATGGACTCATCTTCACACATGGGCGACACATTCACGACGAGGGCGAGCACCCCACCGCCGCCGCCATCATCATCGGCCGCCTGCCCCTGGCTGGAGCGCCGCGCTCCCCACGAGATGCCGCCACGAGACCCCGAGCGCCACGGTCCCAACACCGTGCTCTGGTGGACCTCAGCCTCGGCGGTGTACGGCATGGTGGGTGAACTTGCACCGACGATGCAGCCCCGCCCGCCCCCAAGCGCCCGCTCCGTGCGCCCGCTGCACCCAACGCGACGGGCATCACCGGGTTCCCTGTCGAAGAGCGCCCCCCTCGATTCGCGCGCTCTCAGACGGAGCCGGTGCGCTCCGGGGACGAACTGCCCCCCCCCCCCCCCGGCACGTCAGTCCTGGTGCTGTGCCAGAATTCAGGCAAATATATTTATTTATTTAAGTGATGCTTCAAAGAGTGAGAGAGGAAAAAGCCCCGTTTCTTCACGCAAGCAATATTTCCGCGGTGAAGCGCTGGCATTTTGGAGGGGGCCCCAAAGGGAGGCAGCCCAAAACTTGCAAACCTGTGGTGGTGGTTGCTTCACATTGGCTCTCTCCACCTCCCAGTCCAAGGGATTTCTCGAGCAAGACTGCAATAACCCCTCTAACGCCGTCTCTTTGTGTGCGCGCGCGCGTGTGCAGCAGAAGGATTTGATCCCCTTTAAATTAAATCTCGATTCATTTTATGTGTTGTTCTTATGCGCACGTGTGGCACACGTTGCAATGGCAAACAGACGAGAATAACTGAAGTCTAATCACCGTTGGTGGGGGGAGGGGGGGGTGCTGGACCTTCTGTGGCCTTGCCGATCCAGCTCACCTCGTGACTACAGCGCCGAGGTACGACACGTCCACACCGCCGTGCTTTAGCAGCCAGGTACTCGGCCGATTTGCACGGCCGATTTGCACGGCCGATTTGTAATCGCGCCATCAGTTTTTTTTTTGCATATCCACATTGCGCACCTCACATCAGCGGAGGCGTCTCAGAGCACTTTAGGTAAACATAGATTTTACATGAATGCCCAACACTTTAGTATAAAAAATTGCAAGACAGAGTTTTAGACTATTAACGCAGCAATGTACGATGGAACAAATGTTTCTACAGAATGTGAAAAGTCAAAGGGATTTCCTGATCAGATTCACGTGGAACCGGTGCTCATCTCCTACTCACAAGCCCAGTTGTGGACATTCCATGTGCCTATGGCGGGGGCAAACCGCTTTAAACTCCTGGACCCTGGATGAATAATGGGCTGAGTCAAACCCAAACCGCTCTACCGGCTGAGCTATCCGGCCGGTTTACAAAGTAATTATGTCATTAAGATCAAATAACTAAAATGAATATCACGGTAAAAGCAGCTACCCAGCTGCTTTACAGATGCACCGACGAAGAGGGAGAGGGGGGTGGTGGTTTAATGTGTAACGTTTACGTTTATCTCAAATAGATCCGCTCCTCTGATCTTCGTGGGGAGATCGCCCCGTAGTGGTGGCGCCAGACAGCCCAAAGTCACGCGCGGTCAATGCGATAACGCGCGCGGCACCGCAAGCGTGGGACGGGGAGTTGCGTCGCTGTTGATTGCCCGCGCCAGATGTGGCGAAAGGTTTACGGACTGCGAATCGTTTCAACGCGGAGGCATTTCGCGACCAAAATTCATCGTCGCAACGGGTTCTTTTTTGGGGGGGGGGGTCGCTCGCCTAAATATAAATGTGTCGGTAACCCACCACCACCCGACACAGCCGATTAGTGAGGCCAATCGCCTGATGAAGCTGGTTGTAATCACCTGCGAAATGTCGTCCTCGAATTGCAAACGCTGTGGGTTTACTCGCCATCACACCGATGTCCCGAAGTAATAGCTAATTGTGACGTTTTGTTTACGTGACAACCCTTACTAATGGGCTGTGTCGGGTGGTGGTGGGTTAACGACACATTTATATTTACGCGATCTAACCCAAAAAAAACCTTTATTATGAAAGTGACTGTACTGTGTTCGTAATGGGAACCACACACTGCACTGGCCACAGCTGATGTCAATCCGGTGGAAAATATGACATGATTCACCGAACACTTATATGGGTTTACAGTGTGTTCTTGACCCAGTTATATTTAACTGCATACGTGATAAATATGGGGAGGGGTGGCACAGAGGTTGGTGCACTGCGCTATGAACCCAGCGACCTGAGTTCGGTTCCCAGCCACGGCTAACATCAGTGGCGAATGCTATCTGAACCGGTGTTGTTCCTCTCCTAGGTTGACTGAGCTTTCAATGCGTGCCTCGCACGGTGCGTGTCTAGAGATCGCGTAGTCTCGGATCGTTGTGTCGTCTGTGTTCTCGAACGACTTGTTTACAGGTGTCAAGCGTAACAATCTGAACTTACATGTTGACATCATGATGCGATGTGTATTTTAATGGTACAAAGAGCGCATTGTTTTACCTGTGTCACCGCGACGATGTACTTCACAGCACTGTGACATATACAAATATACATAGAGTGCTGTATACTGTATGTTATATTCTAATACGGTTATTATTGTTTCCATAGTGCTGCTCAACTTTCCATGACTGCAGTCTTCCTGCAGTGGAAATGTTAATTTGATGATTGTTGGAACGCGATTTTTCTGTTATTAAAGTGCATTTGGTCAGCTCTGCTTCTACAAAACTTCTCCATTACGCATGCACAGCCAAATCAGCGTGGCATTAATGTGACAAATATAAACCACGTGCATATATCAGTGGATGGGGGGATGGGGGGATAGGTACGTGAGAGGGTGGGGAGGAAAGTAGGTCAGTGCGTGGGTTGGAAGGTGAGTGGGTGGGTCGGTATGTGAACTGGTGAGTAGGTTGTGTGGGTAGGTAGGTGGATAGGTGAGTGGGTTGGTAGTTGTAGGAAAGTGGGTATGTGGGTTAATGGGTGGGTGTGGGGGGGAGCGGTAGTGCACTACGGACTTGGTAACCCGGGTTCGATTCCCGCTCACGGCAAACACCAGTGACGATTATCTGAACCGGTCCTGGGCCTCCCCTAGGTCGACTCAGCCTCAAATGAGTACCTGGTGCGGTGTGTAAACATCGCCGCTAGGAAGACAAAGGCGGTCGGGCGTGGTGCTGGCCACCCACCCCCTCGTGTACCGTTCCGGCCTTCATAGGTGCTCGCTAACAGCACTTGCCCCTACAGTCTGTTAAGGCTATACGGGGGATCTTTGTGGGGAGCGGTAGCGTCGCGGTTTGCGTGCTGCGCTACGAACCCGCCAACCGGAGTTCGAATCCTGCTCACGACCAACATCAGTGACGATTATTTGAACCGATCCTGGGCCTCCCGTATGTCGGCTCAGCCTTAAATGAGTACCTGCTGCGATGTGTAAACAACGCCACTGGGGAGATAAAGGCGTTCGGGCGTGGTACTGGCCACCCACCCACTCGTGTACCATGCCGGCCTTTATAGGTGCTCGAGAACAGCACTTGCTGCTCCAGTCTGTTAAGGCTACAAGGGGTATCTTTGTCTTTAGTGGGTAGAAGAGTGTGTAGGTACGTGCGTAGATGGATTGGTAGGTAGGTGATGGGTTTGTGAGTTAGTCGGCAGATACGTGGATGGATGGGTAGGTTAGTAGGTATATAAGGTAGGTATGCATAGTGGTAGTTTTACAGCTGGGTGGATAGGTAGGTACATGATTATATGAGTTGATAGTTTACATACCTAGAGAGTAATTCAGGAGTATAACTCCGCACGAGGAGGTAGCGAAACTAAGTGCAGAATCACATTGCAACACGGTGGATCTTTTGACCAGGCAGAGACCATCAAGTCACGACACTTGAGAACCCCGTTTAACCGTCAGGCAGCAAGCCTCGATTCAAACCCCTCATCTCAGCGGAGCCGGCTCCGCGCTCTGACCTCTGAGCCACCTCAATAAACACGATCTCCGATCCCGACTCGATCCCGACTCATTCACACGCACGGAGCTGTCACTCAGTGTACAGCGTGGCCCAAAGGTCAGGACACACAAGGTTATTTTCATTGACAGGATTTTAACGCTGGAGTTAAACAAATGTAATTGTTTACTCTAGAAGTTAATATTGTATCTATGATTAAGTATGGATATATAAGTTTCTTGTTCCTGTGGGATCACCTCAAAATTTGTCGTTTACAAACTCGGCCAAGAACCCCCCTTAGTGAATTGAGACGAAATATAATTGACGAATGTTCAAAGTTGACACGTAATAAAAAAAAAGTCTTAAATGCATTTCAAAAAATTATTCACGCATCAATGTTAATGCAATTCAGTCTGAATATTTGTTAAAATAAATATAATCACCCAATGTGTCTTCCCCCCCCCCCCACCCCGTGTATAATAACCCGTGTCAACATCTGCACAGATTCCATGGCGCGCCTCGTGCAGTCCCCGCTACCGCAGCTGCTGCCCCTCTTGGTGCTGCTCACCGCTGGCCCGGCCGCCTCTCACGACTACGGGGGCATGCCCATCGAGCTCGACCTCGAGGCCGGCGAGCCGAGCCTCCTCACCCTGCAGGGCCGCCTCGACCGCGCCTACGTGCGCCGCGTGCTCGGCTCCCCGGACTGCCCTCCCGAATGCGAGTGCCCACACTTCTGGCCCACGTCCATGTTCTGCGACGCCCGCAATCTCACCCACGTGCCGCCGCCGCTGGCCAGGACGGCCTACCTCTACCTGCAGCGCGGCCTCATCGAGTCCGTGCCCGAGGGGGCCTTCGGGAACGCGACGGGGCTGCGCAAGATCATCCTGGACGTCAACCGCATCTCGAGCGGCAACGTCTCCGAGGGGGCCTTCTCGCAGCTCGCCCGGCTCCAGTACCTCTACATCAACTACAACCATCTGACCGAGGTCCCCAAAAACCTGCCGTCGAGCCTGAAGGAGCTCAGGCTGGCGCACAACAAGATCCGCGTCCTGGAGGGCCGAGTCTTCCACAACCTCGGCAACCTCACGCTGCTGCTGCTGCACGGCAACGAGATGGCGGTGGTGAAGTCGGAAGCCTTCGCCGGCTTGAAGTCCATCGTTCACATCAACCTGAGCAACAACAAACTCGACGACCTTCCCGGCGGCCTGCCGAGCCACGTGCTTCAGCTCTACCTGGAGTGGAACTCCATCAGCCAGGTGCCCGAGTTTTACTTTCAACAGTTCCCCAACCTGCAGTTTCTGCGCTTGGCCGGCAACTTCCTGAGCAGTCCGCGGGTGCCCGCGGAGGCCTTCAACGTGTCCACCCTCCTGGAGCTCGACCTCGCGTACAACAACCTCGACCGCATCCCCGCCGTGCACCGCAACCTGCAGTACCTCTACCTGCAGGCGAACAACGTCAGCGGTACGTTGGGCAGGTGACGGAATGACGAGCGAGTAACCAGATGTGTTTGCAGGGTGCTTCAAAATGTTTTTAACACTTCTGAGAATTTGCGAACAATGCCCCGAGATATGTGCCTCCTCCGAGCTCTGGAGACCACCGGGAGAAGATTTCAGGCACGCGTTGACAATGATGGCGAAAAGTGGAGATTCTTTGACTTTTCGAAGCTATTAACATACATTGTAATCATCAGTTTAACACGTAGGCTTTCGCAACCAATGTTATTAATAATACAGGGTTTTTGGGTTAGATCGCGTAAGTATAAATGTGTCGTAACTCACCACCACTCGACACAGACAATTAGTATGTTGTGGATTTACTCTCCAACACACCGGTGGGCTGAAGTAGTAACTATTTGGCGTTTTGTTTACGTGACAAATCCCTTACTAATTGGCTGTGTCGGGTGGTGGAGGCATACGACACATTTATACTTACGCGATCTAACCCACAAATCTTTATTATGAATTTGTTATCATGTTACAGTGTATTATCCGTTCTTTTTCCATTAAAAACGATAGTCCCATATAATTGTTAACATTTTCTTGAAGCACCCTGTATTTATTTTTAACACTCAAGATCTTTCGACATCGTAACAGCGCAGTGCTTGACCCACAGCGCCACCAATCCGCCCCGGCGCTCTTCATCAACGCCGCTCGCCTCATAAATATCATAAATCAGCATCGTAGCTTCCCCCCCACCACCCTTCCCATGTTCATATTCCACGTCCAAGATGTTCCCATTTTCCTCTTCATTTGCACTCATTGTCTCTCTGTAAATACAATACAAATCCACATTTACCCAGGCATGCCGATATCCCAAGTGTTTTGTACCAAGCGGTTTTGATATGCCGTTGCATGTGCAGTAGACGCTGAATAAAATCTAATTCTATTGAGTTCTATTAATTATTCATTTGGATTTATCAAATTGTACACGTGCGAACCGCATCTCAAAATATCTGTACAAACAGCGTCGCTTTCGCACGAGAGATCGTTTCAACCACCGCCACTGCAGCCCCTGTTTTTTTAATTTTCTAGATTTTCTTCTTTTGCCCCCTGCCGTTGTGCCCAAGGAAGGCTCCCCTACGGCCTCAGCTGTCTTCTCTTTCTCATCTTGTATTCATAGAGCGCTTTTATCCAAGGCGCTTTGCAAGGGTTTATGAGTGGTGCAATTATGGTGACTAAAAGCGATACGGTGAATAGGGATGGGGTATAGTGAGGGCGGTTTAGCGAGTACCGGAATGACGGTGGGTGCCTAGGGATGGAGCGGAAACTCGACAGGGAGGAGGGGAAGCTTGCTCCAGAGCAAGGGGACAAGTAGCGAAACGGTGATTGTGCACAATTAGAGCGGGGAACGTTTCGGAGTAAGAGAGGTTGAGAGCGCAGCGAGCGGGAGAGGACACAACACGAGACGAGGGAAGCGAGGTAAGGAGTGGCAAGGTGGTGATGGCAGCAGCAGCTGCAGCTGCTTCCTCTGCGAGATGTCTCCCCCACGTGGCCACACCTCTGAGGCGCGAACTCACGTCCAGATTTACCCATCGGCGTCTCAAATTCCAGAGAGGAGAAGTGGCAGAGCTGCTTGGAGGTCAGTCAGGCTGAGAGCATGGGTTCGAATCCAGGCTCTCAGCCGCCCGTGATCAAACTGGGTTCTGGGTTCTCAAGTGCAGCGAGTTGATCAACAGTTCAGTCACAAAAGGCGATACAAATAAATCACGTGAAGTTTGTTTCTGCAAAACTTGATCTTTAAGAATTCAAGTATCGGTTTGACTGTGATGCGACAACAACCCCTCTGTGGCACGGCGGGTGGGAAAGTGCTGCAGACACCGACAAAGGGGATGTCGGAGGTAGCTCTGCGAGATCCGCTTCTTCGGGTCGTTCTCTCACGCCGACGGGTCGGCACTGCCCTGCAAGAGATCCCAATAAATGCTTCATCTCACGTGACGTGGCAACAACAGCACAGTTGGGATCAAATTTGGAGAAAAATTACGCAAACATTATTTGTAGAAGCATCTCTTGAGGAGAACTGTGCTGCTGATTTTCCGAGATAGACTCAAAGGGGCACTCACATTCACCCACCTCACGCGGAATGAGAATTCCCAAGGAAAGATCAAAGCTGGGTGACCTGGCCGGGGTTAGTGGATGTCAGACACGGAGCTTACAAACTCCACATGTCCAGTGATCCGTCAACCTCATGTTACAGCCGCTCTCAACTCGATACGGCCTCTTGGTGCATATATGCATGAACCACTGTGCAAAAAAGATGTGTTAAAGGCTGCTGTATTCGCAATAGCACAATGCGTCTCACCAAATCACTCGGAATGTGACTTGGCCATAGGGTAAGCAGGCTTTGAGCCTGGATAGCGTGCTATGGGTGACCACGTGGTATGGGTGACCACGTGCAAGCGGTGTAGGTTGCTCCTGGGCCACGTCATCAGAGGGCATTTCAACAAAGTCCATTGTTATCCTGTACTATGTCCCCAACATCTACGCCCCCTGCTTTCACCAACGACCACTGACCAGCATAGTGAAATATGGTCAAACAACCCCCGTGAACCGCATTGCATGGGAAGGCCCTCATCCAGAAGCAGATTGACAAAATGACCATACACAAGCAACCAAGATAACGAGGGTTGCCACCTCTCCTGGTTTCCCCAGGAACATCCTCTTGTTGACCTACCTAGCTGTCCTGAGAAACATATAAAGAACTCCCTGTAACTATAAAAGTCCACGTTTTGTGTTATCAACGTTGCAATAACACACCTCTCAAGACAATGCATTGACATCTCATTCTCCCCTCAGCTGGCATCGTAATAAATTATTCCTCTTCCCATGGAATACATCCCAGTTTTTTTCCACTTCACATATGGAAACCATACATTGGACACGTTTAAAACGCCTTTCACTCGGAGGTCGTTGGAGAAGTGGCCGTGTATCCCCCAGGCAATGTCCACAGACTCAGGATCTATGAGTCTGTGGACATTTTAAAAATGCGCCTTCAAAAAAAACTACTTATACGCTTCCGCTTATTACATTTAAAGTTAATTTAGTAAACGTTTTTTTATGTATTTATAATATTCTTTAATTGCTGATTGTCTGCTGCTGTGTCTTGTACAGCGCTTCAAGATCCTTGATGAAAAGTGCTACATAAATTCATTTATTATTATTATTACTACACCGCTAAAACAACGATTGTTTTGTTTCAATAAAGAGAAAACCCAAAAAAAATACGAAACGCAAGGCACGGCCGCCCGGCGATAAGAACGCTCGTAAAAACCAAAGCACACGAATGCGCCTTCGAGTTGAGAGCGTTTCCGGCTCGTGGGAGGGGGGCACGCGCATGTGGCCGGCAGCCCGGATGGCATTTACGGAGAGGCTCCTGGCGTGAAGTCCATGAAAGTGACCGATAGGGCCTCTGGCCGCCGTTTGTAGAGAGCGGCGGGCGGGCGGGCGGGCGGGCGAGTGAGTGAGCGAGCTCCCCAGGTCAGCTGGGAGTAATCTCGCTGCAGCGGCCGCCTTGCTGGAGCCGTGCCAAATCCCGGGCCACTCAGGAATGTCTCCGCCAACTGAGACCTTAATTGTCAGCGATTCCACGATGATTTCATCTGTTTGTGTATAACTGTATACTTTAATTGGCGAGAAGTCATTTTCGTCTGGACAATGTTGAAACATCATCTTAGCTTTTTTATTATTATTATTTTTTACGGTAATTTATTCCACCCGGCCACGCATTTGAACCACTTCAGATGGCTACATTTAACTTGCAAAGTAATCGTTGTTATCAGAATCACGCTTTGTAAATAATATATATATCACGGACCCTTGTGGAATCGGCATTATGTAACTGTCGACATTTGTCCCCTTGTCTCCGTGTGTCCCCTTGTCCCTGCGTCCGTGTCTCCTTGTCTCCGTATGTCCCCTCGTCTCCGTGTGTCTCCGCGTGTCACCGCTTGTCACTTGGTACCACCATGTTCCCTCGCCTTCCTGTCCCCGTGTCCCCTCGTCCCCGTGTCCCCTCGTCCCCGTGTCCCCGCGGGAGCAGAGTTCTCCGTGGAGAGTTTCTGTCGGAGCACGGCGCCCCAGGACTACTCCCGTATCTCGCTGCTCCGTCTCGACGGGAACCGCCTCGCCTCGTGGAATATCCCCAGCGACGCCTACGCGTGCCTGCGGCGGTGCCGTCACTTCGTCATCTAGACGGCGCGACGGACACCACGGCGCAGTTGGCATGGCTCCAGCTGCAATGATAGCAAAGGGGGGCCACTCGCTGTCCAGCTTCCAACATGTTAATATTTTGGTATCATCTTGTGTAATCTACATTTTTTTTTCTTACAGGTTCATTGTATAACGCGTAGGCTTTCGCGACCAATATTATTCATAATCAACGTTTTTGGGTTTAGATCGCGTTATTTATAAACGTGTCGTAACCCTCCACCACCCGACACGGCCAATCAGTAAAAAAGTGTCACGTTGACAAAAGACAATTAGTTCACTGCTTTAGCCCACCGGTGTGTTGAAGCGTGAAACCACAACAATTTACAATTTGAGTACGACGTTTCTGGCGAATTGCCCGATGATGCTGGATGCAATTACCAGCGAAACGTCGTACTCAAATTGTAAATGTTGTGGTTTCACGCTTCAACACACCGGTGGGCTAAAGCAGTGAACTATTTGTCTTTTGTCAACGTGACACTTTTTTACTGATTGGCCGTGTCGGGTGGTGGAGGGTTACGACACATTTATAAATAACGCGATCTAAACCCAAAAACGTTGATTATGAGGTTCGTTGTATGTATGTATGTTGAACTTCATTCGCGCCGTACGTGGGCAACCGTGCTAAATCGGGGAGTGGGTACGTCACACGTGTCGTTCACGATGTATCTTGCCAACATTTATTTTTTATGTCACACCGAGACATCTTCCTCGTGTAGAATGCGCATCAGCAGGCATCATCCTACGCGTACGGCGCAACACGAATATTTACGACACGCGTGTACGTAGCACCGCAGTAAACGCGATTGGCAACATCCCAGACGCTTCGAAGAATTGTGAGTGGTGTTTGGACGCGGCACCGAAGGCGTTTGCACACTTCAGACACGGGGATCGCTGGGGCGGCCGTGGCTTCATCACGCTACACAAACGCGGCCCCCAGAGCATTCCCCTCCGTAATTCTTCCAAGATGTGGCTTACAGAGTCGCGGCAATTATCCGTCCCTCAGGTGACCTCCAGTTCTGCTCGCACGGGGGGGGGGGGGGCGAGGGGGGGTGTGTGCCGGGCGTTATTAACGTAGCGATGGTGGCGGTGGCCACGCGCACGCACACAGCACCCAGCCCACCAGACTCCCGGGTCGAAGGGGAGCCGGTGTGGTGACGCCGCCGCGATGAAACGGTGAGCGCGCACTGGGACTTCTAAACTCGGTGGTTCACCGGTTCGATCCCCTGACGTGGCAGTCGAAACAATGGGCAAGTCTGTAAGATCGTCGTTCACCCACCCACCCCGCAAGCCTCTGTGCCCCGGCAGTACAGTTATAAATAGAGGCTCTTTCCATGTGGAGGCCGATCCGCCAGCAGCGGTGTGAGCGGGCAATTGCAGGGCTGCACCTTGACCGCATTTTAATAGGGGGAGAGGACAAGGCCATGACAGTCTAAAACATACTCTTTGGTTCTTTCGGTAAAGTCACGTAGGTAGAAAAAATTATAGATCACGACGTTTAGATCGCAACAACAAGCGATCGTCTTCAGAAGACGGTCTATTATTATTTTATACCTACGTGACTTTACCGAAAGAACCAAAGAGTATGGATTCCTGCAGTCACGAAAGCTTCAAATCAAGTCTCAAATATGTTCCGTTCATAAAGCGTTTTGAAAGCCACGCGTTTGTAAGTTGCAAACGAACTTGGCACACCGGTTTCGCTTTTAGAACACGGACCACAAATGATGATTACACACCCCGGTTGCACGAACGCTCCCCCGCACCCCCCCCCCCCCTCCCCGTGTTTTTTGACGACTCGAATCGGCAGTCAATTCGTGGATTCTTTCGAACAATTTTGCATCTCAGGCTCCGGCCAGAATTCTGGGAAAGTCTTCCCAACTTGCCCGGCGGTAACTCAAAGCAACTCGGAAAAGCGTGAAGGTGTCACTGCTGTTGTTTTTTAAAATAAACTTTTGTCGTCCGTCACCTATGGGTTGATTGGTAGCTGCTCCTCAGTGACTCGGTGCCAACGCGAACGCAAACTCGTTGGCAGGTAAAACCGATTACTTCAAGAAGCAACAACAACAACAACAGGCGAGACGTCCCACGTCCTCACCCCCATTCTACGAAGGTGAACAATAAATACGTTTTAATAAATGACGTGAATTTTTTGGTTTTATCCCGGGGACACCGCTGCCACTCATTGGCCTGCCGGATAACATTGAGATTTCACCGAACGATCGCGATGCACTTGAACTCCAATTTCCCTGAAGCCAGCTGCTGCACGATCGAGATGCGTTATGAAAATGTTGCGATCCGAAAGGTGTCGTTAGAGTTCACAGGACGCGCCAATTACGATCCCATGTCTCCTCCCCCCATCCCACGCAACATACAAAAAAAAATCAACGTCCTCCACAAAAGCCAGAGAGAGCCCCGTGGTGCTGCGGTGCCTCGAGCAACGGAGAACGATGGGGATGGGTGGGGGGCAAAGGGTCCGAAAAATAAAATAAAAGCAACGTAATTTGCAGAATTGGCCGCACATGTCTGAAGGGTTGCTTGTGACGGCGGAGCGGTTTCCACCGCTCCTGGGGCTATCAAACTTGTGCCAAGTTCCACGGTAACTGCCGCAGCCGCTGCCGCCACCCCCCGTGCCGCAATGAAAGGCAGCGTTATGTGAGAGCGGACGCAGCACAAGAAGCTGCCTATAGGTGAATAGAGCCGCCACGGAACTGGAGTGCGTTGGTTTTATGTTTTATGCGAAAGCGATCGTTGAGAGGCGAAATTTTTTTTGACTGGGTCATTTGACATATTACACACCAGCACATTTATCAAGAATGCTCTTTTATTCTGGAATATATATATATTTTGTTAATACACCACCTTCAAAATGTCATCTGTGTGCTGTGAAGAAGAGGCTGTTTGACCATACTTCACCACGCTGGTCAGTGTGGGCCGGTGAAGGGGGCGCCCAGGATCAATTCAAATGATGACGCACCACCGACTTGAGCCATGACCGTGAATCGAATGTCGGTCACTCGGTTCACAACGCACAAACACCACGTGTGTGTGACAGCTGCACCGCCACTTCCAGCTATGTATCATTATCAACCAGGATCCATCCACTGCTCGATGAAAGCCTCCCCAAGCCGTCGCACACAAAGCAGAGTTTTGAAAATATTATATTACTTGTGTTCATTTGCTGGTTGGCTAATTGAGCAAGCCATCTGAGGATATGTTTTTATATGCAAACCCATATTCACATATATATATAACATATTCCCAGCGTAAACAAACATTGCAGTGAGGGAATGTAAACAACGAGCCTGTGAGCATCGCCTTTGGTCGCGAGATAAGGAGCGAGCCGAGACGTGGAGTCAAACCTCTCCCGATCCTCGCGCCACGGCGAGCAACATTCGTGCCGCATTCACATTTCCTTTCTCTCTCCGTGCAAAGCGCAGGACTCGGAAGAGGGGGGCGAGGTGGGGGCACGTGGGCGTGAGAGGGGTGAGGCGGAGAGAATTCCCACGGCAACATCACATTTCTCAGACGCTCGCTAAATGACATCACCTTTTCGGGCGTCTCTCAAGACGTTGATCCTGCGCAAAGGAGTCAATTATCAATGGCTTCATAAAAATATAAGGCTTAATAATCGCGTTCGTGCGACCAGCTGGATTTCGCGCCCGTGGGCGTCCTGGCCCGGCGACGTTCGCTCTCAAAACATAACGCGGCGAAAGACGAATTCAGAACGGATGCCGCAGTTGTGACGTCACGCGGGCGCGTGAACGGCCGCACATGTCGCGCGAGCAGCACGGATGGCGTCGCTCGGGAGAGAATTGGACGCATTGTCAATTCGAGTGTAAAGATAATGTTAGTTGCGTTGCGGTGAATGGTTTTGCCTCAATTGGCTGCGGTGGTTTCGCACCGATCCGTGTGCGTCGTGAACTCAAGAATCAATGGTTGCGTGCAATGTCCCACCCCCAGCAGAAACTTTATTTGCGCTGTGCCTACGATATCACAACGTCATCCATTGCAAACTCTCTAAAAGACGTTGGTCCACCTTTCTTGATGGGTGGGGAAACTGCTCATAAAATACCAGGGCTTCAGAGAAACCAAGGCCAACTGACCTTTTCATTCAATTTGGGGATGGCGATGATGATGCGTTCAGTTTTGCCACATTTTCTAAAACTATGACCTAGACTATTGGGGTGATGTTGATATGTTGACGGTGAGGTTCCCGATCACGTGGAACTGTCATATTCATCGCCAACATTTAACGAGAGTTCACAGTTTTGAAAAGAGAAAAAAACACAAGTTTAATATGTTTTCTAATCAAAAGCTAATGTGTATGTGTGTCGTAAACGTAAACGTAACATTAAAAGCATGTTGTGATATCACAACGCCTCTTTCTCTTGGCCACCATTGAGAGTGCAGGAGACAGAAAGTGGAGGGGGGAGGAAAAGGTCAAATAATTTGTGAATATATAAAGCGGTGGGAGAGCCGAGGGCGAGCTTTCGAAATATCTTATATCTCGATCGCATCTCGTAAATAATGTCCCGTGAACGTCGCGTAAAAACCAGCCAACCTGTTAGTAGGGGCCCACGTGGAAGCAGCTGCTTTTGTGGGTAACCAAACAAAGGATGAGCAGAGGGCTGCGGGGTAGCGAGGAAGGCGGTGGCGCAGGAGAGAGGTAGCGGAGGAGGGACCCACATCTCTCCAAACGTGGGGCACGGAGAGGCCAAAGGAGTGACGTCTGTGTGGGTTTGCAACGATACCACGGTGCGGGGTGCGGGGAGGAGTGGGTGGGGGGCGGGGGGGGCAGGGAGAGAACAAGGAGGAGGCGGCGCGGAACGAGCGTCGCGTGTTGGGCTCGATTCGGAGCGAGGTTCGTGCCGAGAGGGTGCAGACGCGCAGCGGCCGGGCTCAGGCTCCGGGAGGGACAGGAGGAAAGAGATTCCCTGACCGGCGTCTGGGTGGAACGACCGCACCGGGTCCGAGTGCCAGACCAGCTGAGCCCCAGGTGAGCCGATTGCGTGTGTAGATGTGCGAGCCTATTCGTCAACACCGTCACAATGATTGATGCTCGCGAACCAGGTATTTCCTGGCGGGCCAGGTGGCTCGAGCACGAAAGCCACCTGGCCTCCCGGCATCCAGGTGGAACAAGCACACGAGGGATGTTGTTGGTGCCCGACCTTCCTCATCCAGTCTCGGTGCAAGTGACAAGCAAACTAAGCATACGCTTAGGGACCCAAGTAGCTCAAGGGGCCATGGATTCGTGAACTTATATGTGCTTACCGTGTCGACCCATACGGTTTGCCCCGTATTCTTGTACAGGAAAACTGAGTTTTCAGGTGCATGTGGCGTACAGCCGTTTCAATACGGGCAAAACAAGTTTGTCTATTTGTTTGCGTTTCTCCCTTGTGATGGGACTTTGTCGGATGAAGGTTGAGATTTATAAGGGCACGGGGTGACCAATACGATCTGAATTGGTGTGTAATAAGGTAGGGACTGATAAGGGGTTGACAGGTATGTACTGTATGTGCTGAACCAAATACTGAACCAAATCAGCTGGAAATCAGCCCCTAACAAACATAAAAAAAGCTTGTGATCATTCTGATGACACGACTGAAAACAGTAAATCATTGTAACTCGTATGTTAACGAATGCCACGCAACTGAGATATCATTGAGTTTCATAGCTTGTACAGCATGTGTTTGCGGTCACGTAATGCACCCAAAATAATTTCACCAGCACCTGAAAGCCCCCCCCCCCCCCCACATACCTGTGAACCAGGTGAGCCCATTCATCCATCGTGTTTCTTACAGGTAAGATTTGGCACCTCCGATTAGGACGGTTGGTTACGTACGATGAGAAAGAAGATAAACGTACATAATACAATAATATTGTAATTTTAGTGCATTTCGTGTTCGAGCCATTCTTAAAGTGCAACGCTTTCGCTAAGGGAGGCGCCGCAGTGTTTCACGAACACGGGCTGCAGTAGTTTCACAGCAGGGCGCGATGCTGCTTGCTGCTGTCTAACCTCAATTTGCGGGGCATTTTTGAGAATTTGCCGAATTTGGACCAAGACGCTTGCAACACGATGACCGATCTACCCGTTCAAGAACGATGTCAGAGGATATTTAACGTCTGCGGTATTAACCAGGGCTGCCGCCGGGTTTGAACCTCCACCAAGCACCCTGGTGCGTGGAGCTGACAATGCAGCCTGTGAACCCGGTTCCCGTGAGAGATGTTCACGGGCCAAGGTTGCTTTTGCATTGGAACCTTAAGTGGTCCAAGTTAAAAACTGGCATTTGTAAATGTATAAATATATATATCTGTTAAGTTTCATCATCAAGTTCATGAAATACAAGCGAAGATTTGTTTGCCACTTTGGCCCTGCTGGAATTTGTCATCTCATAAATTCGCTAAAAGTACCCAACAGTAACCAACTTCCATCATTAGTAAACGCTGTTGTTGATTATTGCTGTTCACGTTTGATGATGACTATCACGATGAATATGATGGCGAAGATGATTCTAATGATGACGATGACGATAATGAAAATAACCATGATTATTATAATGCATATAATGATGATGCCACTGATGATGATGATGGAGATGATGACAATGTTGATGATTAAGACAACATTAATGATGTTGGTGTCAACTTTGACACTAATTACGCATGGCACTTCTGATAACGACTTCCGTGATGTTGATGACGACGATGATAACAACGATGCCGAGGAAAGTAAATTAACGGATCGAGCACCGTTATGTCCAGGCCACCGAGTCCCCGGCACCATGAGGCTCCCACTCCAGCTGACCTCGCCGCAGCTGCTGCTGCTGCTGCTCGTGACCTCCAGCGCGACCACCGCCGCCGCTCAAGAGAGCAGCTCCTCGGCTCCTCTCCCTCCGGGCGTCGCTAGCCCTCGACCAGAGGGGGACCCCATCCTGTACGAGGGTCCCCACTTCTACCGCGACTGCCCTCGCGAGTGCTACTGCCCGCCGAGCTTCTCGACAGCGCTCAACTGCGAAGGCCGCCGCCTGCGCTCCGTTCCAGAGGTGCCCTCGCGCGCGATGCACCTCTACCTGCAGCACAACTTCATCCGCACCCTGCGCGCCGGACCCTTCGCCAACGCCAGCGAGCTGCGCTGGGTGAACCTCAACGACAACAGGGTGGCCAGCGTCGAGGCCGACGCCTTGGGCGGCCTCAAGCACCTCCTGCACCTCTACCTGGAGCGCAACGCCCTCGCCGAGGTGCCCAGGGGCCTGCCGGACAGCCTGCAGCAGCTGCGGCTGGCCTACAACAAGATCGCGAGCGTCCCCGCGGAGGCGCTCTCCGGGCTCTCCCACCTCCTCCTGCTGGACCTGACCGGCAACAGCCTGGCCGACGGCGCTCTCACCGGCGACACGTTTAAGGGGCTGTCCAATCTGGTGCAGCTGAATCTGCATGGGAACCGGCTCACGAAGATGCCGGAGAAGCTGCCGGCCAGCCTCTACCAGCTGTTCTTGGAGGGAAACCTCATCTCGTCCGTCCCCAAGGGCTACTTTGGCGGCTTTGGGCGCCTGTTCTCCGTCCGCCTGTCCTTCAACAAGCTGACGGACGAGGGTCTGCCGGCCACCATATTTAACATCTCGACCCTGGTGGAGCTCGCGCTGGGGCACAACCAGCTGTCCAAGATCCCTGAGATCCCGCCACAGCTGGAGCACCTCTACCTCAACCACAACCGCATCAAGAGTACGCGCACACGCGCACGTGGCCACCAGTCCCTTCGCACTGCAGGGTGACTCCCATGTCATTACCTCCCGTGGCCACCAGTCCATTCGCACTGCAGGCTGACTCCCCTGTCATTACCTCCCGTGGCCACTAGTCCATTCGCACTGCAGCCTGACTTCAGAATGGGGCTTTAAATTTGAGTCCAGAGGGGGAAAAAACATTAACGGGAGATGATGAGAAGGATTCGTCAAGGGAGGTATTTTTTGGGTGGCTAGAATGGCAAAATCATAAATCATAATGTGAAAATATAATAATTACTTACAGCCGTTTGTAAATCCACTGCTGAGTGAAGGCCTCCACACGTGGAGTCAGTCGTGTGGGTTGCTTGAGCATACTTCACCACGCTGGTCTATGTGAATTAGTGAAGCTGGTTTCCCGGACCAGTTCGAATGTCGCTTGCCACTGATGTTGGCTGTGGCCGGGAATCGAACTCAGATAACCCCTGTTCAGAGTGCAGTGCGTGAGCCACCACTCACTCTGGCACCGTATTAACACGTAAATATGCTGACACGTTAACATGATACACAGAAAAAATAAACCTCTCTAACCTGATGTTTTAAAAAATAAAATTTCCAGCATGTCTCCTGCTAACTGATCATGCTCATGAAAAAAAAATAATTAGAGACGGGCTTTGTAGTGGAAATGATAAATAATTTCAGAACATAACTGAGTAAGATAATCTAACTGAAGGTTTAATGTGCATGGAATACTGTGCAGACACTGGCCTTCGGCACACATGGGCCAGGCTTGGCTTTGTCCAAGTGTTGGAATCCACACGGGTTCGCATAATAACCTCCACTATAGTTCTTGGACTTTTCATAAATGAAAACACACAGAGAGAGGCCTGGCTCTCCAAGCTCATTCAAATGCCGATGGCTCTTGGCACAAAGGAAACCACTTTGAAGATATTTTAATAAAAGTGGAAAAACGCAATATTCTAGAGAGAGAGAAAGAGATGCAAGTCACTTTGTGGCTTTTTTAAAACTTGACGCGGACGTTGCCACAGTTTTATTGTCACAAATTCCATTCAACTCCTCAATAAAAAAACACTCGGCGTATTGAAAAATAAAGAAGGATCAGGCTCGGCGGATGCGCCGAGGAGATTTAATTTCGGGCCCTTGATTCGTGAAACGCGGCCGCCTTGAACCCTAACGGGGAGCACATGCGCGTGAGGCGGGGAGAATGACGGATCGGGTGGCGGCCTTTGGAATTCGAAGGTCAGAAGCTGCAGAGTGAAAGCCCTGAAGGTGCAAGGAGACGAATGGGCAAGAAACTAAAAAGAGGCCCGCACCTCGGGCGGCTGTGGGTGCCGTGGGGCTTTGGGACCCCCCCCCCACCCCATTTGTCTTATTTGATACGGCTAAGAGAGACACCAACAACATCGTGGTAATTTGGAGTCTGCATTTTTCTCTCCCTTCACCAACAAGGTGTAAACAGAGATGCCGAGTATGCTCGCGACGGAAACGCTCCTCCGCACCTCCGATTAGCGCGGTTCGTCGCTACGTACGGTGCGAAAGAAGTTCAACATACGCGCACACCTACAATAGGGAGCAGTCGGCTCGCAACTGAGTCAATAGCGGCTGGCAGTGACGGGGATTCGGCATCGTTCGAGTGCAGTGGAGCTACCCAGCTTGCAGAGCGGCTGCATCCCAATTCAAGCGTATATCCCAACAAGCATCATCATCATCACCATCATCACCACCACGTAATGTTCACACCGCGCCTCCAACGTAGTGCATGCTGCTGCGTCCTGTGACAGCCACTACTCTCCACACCCCAGTGGCAGCTGTCCCTGTTGAGGCTCAGGGTGAATGCAGCATAGGCCAGTGGGCAGGCACGAGTCTGTTAGTATGCGATGTTGCAAGTATGCAATTTAAGTAATTTGCGAGTGATTTAAATCACATTTATCAAATATTGCCTGAAGAATGACCTCACAGAATCTTTAACTGTGAAGCGGACAGCCCGTAGTAGTTTTAGTTCGTGTAGCCGCAGTATTAACCAGGTCGACCACCGGGGCTGCAACCACAAACTCCTGCGGCAAGCGGGCAAGCACGCGTCTGCTGCTCCGCCTTGTCGCCACCCCAAGCCATGCCCCCCCACTCTCCCCCCACCCCCTCAAGACCCCCCCTCCCCCCCACATGGAGACTTAACAGACTGCTGCGGCAAGTGCTGTTAGCGAGCACCTATGAATGCCGGCACGTCACACGAGGGGGTGGGTGGCCAGCACCACGCCCGACCGCCTTTGTCTCCCCGGTGTCGACGTTTACACACCGCGCCAGGTACTCATTCGAGGCTGAGTCGACCTAGGGGAGGCCCGATGAGCGATGCAGATACTCCTCACTTGTCTCGGTGGCCGTGAGCGGGAATCGCACTCGGGTCGCCGGGTTCGTGAGCGCAGTGCGCTAACCGCTGCACCACCGCTCTCTCTCACTCCCCCCCCCCCAGGCCTGGACGTGGCGTCGCTGTGCCCGTCTCCCGCTCCGTCCGCCCCGCGTCGCCTGCGCTACCTCCGCCTGGACGAGAACGGGATCGAGCGAGCTCACCCGGCAGAGATCATGGTCTGCCTCCCGCTGCTCAACGCGCTCATCGTCTGATGCCACTGCTGGATGATGGAGGCCTCCCCCCCCATGCTGTCACTTTCACGCACACTCCCGCAATGTTACAACAACAACAACAGCAGCAGAAAAAGTCCACCCATCGCAATCTACAGAATATGTTGAGAATATCTAACGGCACACACAGAATATATATCGGCACACACACTCCCGCAATGTAACAACAATAACAAAAATAATCCGCCAATCGCAATCTACAGAATACGTAGATTGTGATGGGTTATGTACTAAACTAAACTTGAATATTTTTTACTTTTTTTTACGATTCGCTTGTTTTTTCCAATTGCATGTGAATTGCATGGTGAGTAGAATGTGGTCTGATGAATTTACACAATGCATATTCACTAAATATATATAGAAACAGGAGCAATACGTTTTTTACAGTAATTGTATTATTAATTAACTAATGATAAGCATGCCCACATATTTACCTATTAACACGTGCGGTTGTTAAAGACCCCTTCCCCTTACATGATTAAACTTCGACATATTTTATATTGTGGGAAGCGTTCAATAAAGATTAACCAATTATGCCCATGCCTGCCTATTCTCAATTAAGAACATGCGAACACTCCCGCATTGTGTCCATTTGATTAAAAGTAATGTTCAGACCTCTGTGCTAGTCCACTCGTGAATTAACGTCGCCAGATTTCAACGTTGGTTGAACGACTTTGTCTGACCATAACTTCATCACACCGGCTCGTGTGCGTTGGAGGGGCTGGGACTAGTTCAGCCATCGCTCGCCACTCACGGTAGCCGGGGCCAGGAATCAAACTCGGCTCGACGGGTTCACGTAGGTATGAAATAAAATAAATCACGACGTTTCGGGCTCAACACAAGCGTCCGTCATCAGGTCCATCAGGTGACGGACGCTTGTGTTGCGCCAGAAAGCGTTGACTGTTATCTTTTTCTGTTAAGGCCGCAGTGATATTGCAGAATGTGTTGAGTATGTTTTGTCAATTGTCCGTGTGCAGCAATGCCAACACAGCAGCATACCCAAGTAACTTCCTTCTTTGAAGCGGTACACTGTGAACAGCATATAGGCACTGTGGCTCTGTAAAACGGTGGGTAGGTGGTGCATTGGTTAGCGCACTCATCTATAAACCCAAACCTCACGTCAGCACCACGTTGGGTTTCCAAACCAGCCCTGAGCCCCCCCCCCCCCCCCACACACACGCCCTTCACCGTTGCACGCTGATCAGCCTGGTCTCACTCTCTCCGTACCCATCCGTCGAATGTCCTTCTGCATCCCAGCGCTTGAAGGTTGCCTGCTGCAAGATCTCGCGCAGTGCAGGGGGAGGTGGGGGGAGGAGGGGGGGGAGTGCTTCCTCGAGCAGTGGCCAGATCCAGAGGCATCGCACGGTTCGCCTCTCGCCACGGCAGCAGCAGCGGCAGCAGCGGCTCTCTGCTTTTGTGATGCGCTGCTATTTCGACAAGCTTGGATCTTGACCTGCCAACTCGGGGTGCAAGGTCGGTTCGCAGCTTTCCCATGTGGTCCACCAAATTGCAATTTTACCCGATGCCAAAACGATCTGCCAAGAAACCGGACCTGTACTGAGTCTGCAAAGATCAATAACCCCAATGCACAACGGCCCACGGGCGTAATTCCAAGAGGCGGCGAGACATCTGGTGAGGCTGAATGAGAGTGCCAGCTGGCCCTGAGTCAAGTCGATTGGTGGTCGCTGACCACTCGTTGAAGCCCCCACCAGGAGCCGGGGATGGAGCTGCCAGGACCCCAACGACCCAACAGGGGGCGCTGGCCACTAACGTTGGAGGACTTCCATTTAAAACCGACCACCACCCTCAGTCGCCTTCCACTGCCCCAGCAGGGCAGTGCGTCGTCACCAGGGGATGGACGCGGTGGGCGAACAGGGCAACAAATTTAATTCCTTGCACCCGTGGCCTATCCCAACCACGCAGATGCCACTGGGTGGGTGCCTGGCCGCTTCAAATGAGAATATTTCTCTCCACTACTTTTATTGCAACGTGGCATGGGGCAGTGTCCATTCGGGACTCTTGCAGAGTAGTGCATCGCCCCCCCCCTCCCCAACCCCTGTATCCCAATCCCATGTGTTTGACAACGGCCTGTGGATGTGGATATCATAGAACCACTTCTTAGATCTCTTGTTCGTCAAGGGCATGTGCAGTCACGTGCTCGGTGATTGAGATGTTCGTTGCATGGTAATCAAACCAACATTTTACTCCGTTGATTCTCAGAGCGAGCAAAGCTTTGTTTGACGAATAAAAATGTGCGCTGCCACTGCAACTCAATAAATTTGCGATGACATTGAGGCCAAGGACACCAAGCAGCTTAAGGGACTCCCAGATAAAGCAAATGGAAAGAATGGGTGCATCAAAATATCATCTCAAATGAATCTCCGTCTCATCTCTAACTCCCATCTCGCATAGCACCACCGCTCTATTTGCATCCACATTCCTCTCGCCTCACGTTGACGTCTCTCTATTGTCTACATCACTTCTGTCAACTCACGAGGATTATATAAAAAAGAGTAATTCCTGCTCATGGCTCCCAAGGGGCCGGCGCCGCCACTGCTTACAATTCACATCACAGCACAAAATCGACCGCCTGCACAATGAGGATTGATGCCATGGAGGAAATCGCAGCGAGCGGTGCCAGCGAGTTCCTAAATGCTCCGTGCCCGCTGAGATGGATGGCATAGCGCCCAAAATATGACCGAATCCGTCATGATCGCCGGACCCCAATCAATACCAAACGTGGTCTGCAAGCCGTGGCCCCAAGTCCCGCGCACGTGGCGTGCGACGCGGGGCAGTAACTCACTCGCTCCTCGCAGTCCGCGTTGTGCTCGACGCGTGCCGCGCCCTTCGCGGCAGCGGAAGGAATTTTGTTGCGGGTTCCATCGGCGGGCGCGGGCGCGAAAATCCAGGTTGGTAAGCCAAGGGGATGCATAGCTGGGCCCTTGATTTGTGACCTTGGCTTAAATGCCCTTTCCCAGACCTCCCCACAGTTTCTGATGAGACTTAGCGAGGCCTTCCTGGGTAAACACGAGTTGCAAGCGTCTAACAATCGCTCTCATCACCTTTAGCATTCCCTTTTTTAGGCCTGCGTTCAGCAGCCCATGAGTGGGCCTGGGTTCAGCAACAGCCAGTGGGCCTGGGTTCAGCAACCGCGAGTTAATAAGAAACAAAAGAGACATCACCCATGCCACCGGCTAACATGCCACGGGGCCACCGAGGCCAACCAGCCACCCAAAATGCCCTTACCAGAATATCCCCCCGCTGAAGTAGAATATCATCTCCTATTACTCCACACACGCACAGAAATAACAAAGCTAATGCGCAGCCATTGCGCCGACTCTATATTAATATATTCTTTTGTTCTCAGCTCAACCTTGGCCCTTGTATGTACACTGCGGAGCGATACGGGGGGGTGGGGCACGCGGCCCCGCCGTGCCTGGGCTCGCGTCGCGTTGCATTGCGGCCATCAATCACGAAAAGCCACCAGGCGCACCGCTTATACCGCGCGCCGCGGGATCCGTGGCCTCGCTGGATTCTTTTGATCGCGCGCGGGGTAGGGGGAGGGGGGAGGGGGGAGGGGGGAGGGGGGGCACCAGCAGCTGGTGAAGTATGGTCAAACAAGCCCCGACTTTCTATCAACGCCCCCTCCCCCGTGATCGCTGTGTCTGCAAGCGCAATAGGGTGGAACAGCGTTCTTCACTCATTGTCAGAGGTGGGTGGGTGGGGTGGGGCACTTTCGCCGATAAAATATCGTGAGTGTGAGGGCCGCCACACCATTTGAAACCTTTGGGGTTTTGACAGCAGCACGATGATGATGATGATGATGGGGTGGGGGTGTTTTCACTTTCGTGCATTGTCGGGGACCGCAGATATCAGTGGCCGCACGAAAGGCCACCAAGGGCGGCCCGTGGCCCCTGGTGGCCTTGCCATGAAAGAACTCTGGCGTGGACGGTTCCTCCACGGCTGAGGCCTTCGTCATGCGACAATGCAACTCAACACAATCGTCAAGAAAACATCACGGTGGCCTTAAAAGTATGTAGCAGCCAACGTTTCGGCCACCGTGCCGTCTCTTTGCAGCACGCAAAGATGTGTTTCTATGCTTGTGCATCACCGCCGAGGCAGTGGGCTGTCCAAGGAGCGTCATCTCTGGCTATAACCTTCACCTACCGCCCCATGCCCTACTGCCTCCATTTCCCCGTGACTTGACACGGGGTGGGGGGTGGGGGGTAACAAGGGCGGGTTCTCTTACCCAGGGATTACTTTCCGCCGGGTCTGTCCAGGTTAGCAACCCGGGAAGAAATATGTCCTCACCCGAGAGCATTCGCACTGCGCGGGTTGTGCGTGTGCACGCTTGTTGAACTTCTTTCGCACCGTGCGTGGCCAAGGGCGCCAATCGAAGGTGCGGTGTAATGTTCCGTCGTCAGCATACTCGGAATCTCTGTCACACCTTCTTGATGGAGGAGGGAGAGAAACGCAGACGTGCGCTGATGTGCAGATGCCCCTGCGTGAGTGTGTTCGGGCTGTTACCGCGCGATGCTCGACGATTCGCGACCCACCTGCTGGGAGCTTCGGCAGGGACTGAATTCCGTGGAGCGAAACGTCGGACACGGCGCCGACCAACCAGCAAACCCTGAAACTGTGGTTCCTCTTCTTGCCTGTATCATTTGAGAGTGAGCGATTACGGTGGCAATGCAACAGTTCCCTGCTCCTCGTCATCCCATCGCAACATCTATCATTTGATTAAGTCGCTTAATTGCAATGCGAGATCATTCATTTGACAGAAAATTCCCGTTTGGGATCTGAATGCGCCCTTTAGGCATCTCGGCGCGGTGCCATTTGATCTCTGAGACAATTTGCAATCTCGCGAAATACGGAGCAAGCCACTTGGTGTGTCATCATTGAGAAACACCCACCCCCCGCCTCTCCTTGTCCCCACTTTGCTTTAGAAATTAACCACAAGGGCGTCCGTCACCGTGACAATGGCTCTTGGACTTAACGAGCTTAATAAACGCTGCGATTATGGCTGGCGTGTGGACGGAACCACGTTCATTGCCTCCCCTTTGAGTGGCGCTAACCACACACCTGGGTCTATCCTGGCCTGCACGTGAGCGTTCACACAACAATATCACCACGTACTGAACCAATATCAATCTATTCATGGTTCCAGAGAACACAGGATGAGATGTTACTATCCTTTGTGCAAGCACTTCCAAGAGTTCATGAACAGTGAGCCTGGTGAAATTTGGGGAGCGCATCGTCAGTCGTATTCAACCTCGGGTGAAGCGGTGGTCACATTGGTTAGCACGCAGGAAATAATTCCCAGCTTTGAGAATGAAAATATTACTTTGAAGGCGAGATGTTGCAAACGTGCAGCGCCGCAACAGCAGTAGGTTAGAGGTCAACTTGAAGGGGTCTCAGACGTAGTTCTATGGTGTCACCATCTATAGGCCGCCCTGGAACGCAGGACTCCTGCACGCCTCTACCAGAACTCTACCTGAGCAGTGGGGTGGGGCTACCCGAGTAGTGGGTGGAGCTACCTCAGTAGGGGGTGGAGCTACCATAATAGTGGGTGGAGCTACCCGAGTAGTGGGTGGAGCTACCTCAGGAGGGGGTGGAGCTACCTCAGTAGGGGGTGGAGCTACTTGAACAGGGGGTGGAGCTACCTCAGGAGGGGGTGGAGCTACCTCAGGAGGGGGTGGAGCTACCTCAGGAGGGGGTGGAGCTACCTCAAGAGGGGGTGGAGCTACTTGAACAGGGGGTGGAGCTACCTCAGTAGGGGGTGGAGCTACCTCAGTAGGGGGTGGAGCTACCTCGGTAGTGGATGGAGTTACCGGAATAGTGGGCGGGGCCCTGTGAGCAGTGGGGCGGGTGCGAACGTGATTGCGAGCGAATCAGCTCGGGGGGCAGTGGGTTTAGAGGCGTGGTTTGAGTGCGTGTGGTTGTCCGATGTAGGCGGGGCTACAACGGAAGGAGGGGCTCTCGACTCTACTACTACTTTCTTTCCAGCTCAGACCCCGCTTGCTTGCCCATCGCCACATATATAGCCTCTTGTTGTAACAGCTCTCTCGCTGGTTCAGCAGTTACACTGCTGGATTATTTTTTCCGGCCGAGGACGACCGCTTGTGTGGCGATCGAAACGTTGTGATATTTTCTTTTTTCTTTTTTTCTTTTTCTACCTACGTGACTTTACCGAAAGAAGCAAAGAGTATGGGTTCCTGCAGTCAGGAAATCTTCAAATCAAGATAGAGGTTATTATTCTTAACGACTAGCCTTTTTAACACGTAGGCTTTCGCGACCAATATTATTCATAATCAACGTTTTTGGGTTAGATCGCGACACATTTATAAATAACGCGACTAGCCTTTTGCCCGTCCAAGGACAGGTGCATTTCAGTAAATCTGAAACTTGCAAGCGACAAGCAGAACGCGACGTGATATACTCATTGCATCAATGCGTGTGCAATTTGTAAGGCCGCGGTGACACAGACCTATTTAATTTTAAGGTTATAATCCCGTGTTCATCAGGACGTCCTTTTTACTTCGATGTCTCAAGAGCATTACGGAGATCACGTGACGTGAGGGTTCTGCCTATGTAGTGAGGGTTGTGAGTTGACGCTGAGGAGGGGGGAGGAGGTGCCTCGCCCCCTCCATGTGGAGTGACGTCACCCGCTAATTATTATTAATGAGGGGGGCTGATCGACGTGGAGTGACGTCACGCGCGGGACACACAGACATTCTTGGCTCATTATCGTAGTAAATTATTATTAATAAATTATTGGCGAAACGTCACAGTATTGGAATTGTAAATGTTGTAGAGGCTTTCACTCTCCAACATGCCGGTGTGCTGCACTAGTAAAGAATTAGCACGTTTTGTCTCCGTGACAAACCTTACTAAATGGCTGTGTCGGGTGGTGGCGGGTTTAACGGCACATGTATTTATTTATTTACGCGATCGAACCCAGAAACCTCTGTTGTGGATAATATTGGTGGCGAAAGCCCACGTGTTTAACTTACGACCACGTGTTCCATTTGAGCCTCCCAGAAATACGATGGCTTTAATTTGTATCGTACATAAATCATGACAACGAGAAACGCATGAAAGTCACGTACAATATATTTATTACACAGGCTTAGTTCTTGAAACGAGCAGTTATAAAATTGACCAATCTCATCTGTATAACATAATCGTACGCTGGTACCTACAGTGTAAAATTGTACATAACATTGTATTTCAACATAAACCAGAAACGCCATCAATTGGTTGTTATGAATGGAAGAATTCTGTTTCTGGATTTACCAGATTCTCTCGACTTCGCGTTGATGTCATCTGTATGTCCAACACCTTACACAGAGCGCTTACATCCTCACACGCGACCACATGAAAACCGGCAGCTCTTCTCTAGTAACTACAGAACCTCGGGATATTCACAGAATATTGACGCTTCGTTAACAATAATAACAATGAAAGAAAACGACTCTAAAATTATTTTCAGGACATCGTTAGCGCTCGAAAGCGGGCACGCCCGCGAAAGTAACTTCACAATGTTTCCTCTGCGTTTGTGTTTGTTAATCTCGTTCACAAAGTCATCAAGCTCGCGTGGAGCCAGCCACTAGATAAGAGCCGCATGCGTCCTTCTGGGTTGCGTTTTTTCACGAAAGCAAAGGTGCAAACGGAGGACCAACTCGATCCAAGCCATTGTTAACTTACTCAAGGGCCCTGTTGTAATGATTTACATATGTATGTGTAGGCGATATAGTTGTTGAAGAAGCCACACTATGCCATGGCTATGTTGTACGGCTCTTATCGTCGCCTAGGCATAGTTTTCGTTTCACTCGTGTATGAATGCACGTCGTATTTTGGGTTGTTTGTGGTTGTTGTTGTAGATGTTATCGTAATATCCGAGGGGGTATACGGAAGATTCCATTAATCCACTCCCTTCATGAATTCCATGAATTCTGCAAAACAACGCAAGAGCGAGACATTGAAACAGCGGCGGTGACGCGCATGTAAGGAACAACGCGATCGTTCTCAGATACCGTGTGCTGTGCAGCTGCTCGACCTCGGCATAGGGATGTCGCTACATGTCTGGGGCCGCCAGTATATTATATTAAATGTCCTTGACCATCATTACCGTCATCAATACCCTCATCAATATAATCGAGGCTCTGAATTAACGGCCATTGAGTGACGCTAGAACACCACCATCACGACCACCACCATCACCGTGACTCAGATTGCACAGCTCACTATTGCCACTACCACCAGCACTTGACCTCTACTTCGTTATTTCACGAATGCAAAGTCCCTAGGCCAAGAGGATCCTGCTGTGTTGAGCTCTGCAAAAGGGCCATTCACGAAACGTTAGCCTCCTTATATTCAGCGTATTCAGTATTGTGTCCGCTACGAAGCGGGTGTTAATAGTGATGCTGGTAAGTGTTTGAGCGTAACGTTAATAGTGTAACGTCATTGTCAAGGCGGTCCCCTTGAGTGTTCGGTACGAACGCGGTGGCCAGTGACTCGCGACTCCTGCTCGAGGTCGCATAAGTTCCCGTAACACCGAAGACTTGCAGCGTTGGGCCACCGTTAGCATGAGGATGAAACTACCACCGTCATCGTGACTCAGATTGAAACTGTTGGCCCCACGTCACCCCAACCTTGGCCCAACGTTGCACAATAGCTGGGCTATTGATGTATAATCTATATACATTGAAAGTGTCATTTCATATTTGCTATGGGCGCGCGCGTCAGTTAGCACACTGAACACCCTTGCGCACGAGACGTCCATCTCGCGGGTGAACTGCACCCCCGATTGGCGCGGTTGGCTACGTACGGTGCGAACGAGGTCCAGCACGTGCGTACGTGCCCAGTACTGAGCAGAGAGCGTGTTGGTGTCTCAAATGCTCACCGTCGTAATCGATAAATCCGTCGCCGTTTTTGTCTCCGTCCGCAAAGAGCTCCTCGATATCGTCGTCTGTGATGTCCTCCCCCGTGGCGTGCAGCATCACCTTGAGCTCCTCCAGATCGATGTAGCCGTCACCGTTTCTGTACACATCATCAGCAGCAGCATTATCATCAGCATCATCAGCAGCCACATCATCACCAGCAGCATTATTATCAGCAGCAGCGTTATCAGCAGCATCATTATCAGCAGCCTCATCATCATCAGCAGCATCATCATCAGCAGCCTAATCATCAGCAGCAGAATCATTATCAGCAGCAGCGTTATCAGCAGCAGCATCATTATCAGCAGCAGCGTTATCAGCAGCAACGTCATCATTAATAGCATCAGCATAATCATAAGCAGCAGAAATAAATTTGCCGCTACCATCAGCAGCAGCAGAACCACTTTCACAGTCGTCATCATCATCAGCAGCAGCAGTAGCAGAGGCATCGTAATCAGCATAGTTAGCAATTATTTCACCACCGCCATCGTCGTCATCTTCAACATCATAATGATCATGCATGTCAGCATCAGCGCCAATGTCACAAACGTATGTGATGATGTGATGATGATAATAATAATTTAAACTTTGAAACGCGCGGCTGCCGCACGGTGTCCGCTCATCGCTCTCGAAGAGAGAGAGAACGACTCGGAGAACGACTCGGAGAACGACTCGGAGAACGACTCAGAGGCGCGAGCACCAGGAGCCACGGACGAGCCGGAGAGGCGGCAGCCAGGCAGTGAGCCGCTTCCGACCCCCCCACCACCCCCGCAAGCTCTGCAGTCCTCTATATATGAAGGTGTTGTCAAATTCACGAGTGTTTTACATGTGGGAGGAAACCGGAGTGCACGGAGAAAACTCAGGCGTGCGTGCGAGGGGGCAACGCTGTATGACTCGTGTCTCTCAACACTGAGACCGCATACGAGGCGAGGTAGTTAACATCTCGCCGCTGCTGCGAGTGTGGGGGGGGGGGGCGGGGGACACGCTTCTTTATTTCGTACGGCACAAGCGATTAGCGGCATCCTCTGTGGAAGTGGAGGTTGTCTGAGCCAGAGGAGGCTACGGGAGTGACGTCGTGAACGCCGCGCCCGCTTGACGAGGCCCTCACTTGTCAAACATGCGGTAGAGTTCGCTCAGCTCCTCTTCTGACTTCCCCTTGCTCTCCTCTTTCATGCTGCGCACCATCATGATGAGGAACTCCTCGAAGTCCACGGTGCCGCTGCCTGCAAGCGGCGCCGTCCCGCGCGGACAACACACCGAACGGGCAGAGTTAAACTTCGCGGCGTCGAGGTCCCACCGCCCCTATCCGCCCGGAGAAGACGCTCACTTCGTCCTTCCATCGTAAAGATGCAAACCATCGTCGTGTCGCTGTGTATGAATGCACTTTGCACGGAGATATGGTCATTGGGAATTCTAGACTGTGGGAACAGCAGCAGAGGAGGGACCTTTTCAAGGCACTGACCCCACACACCAATCCACACGTTTCCATATTGGTGCATAACTATGCTGAATGATTGTGGACTATATATGTGTTTAACGGTGAGAGTGTGAAAAAATGTCGTTTTGATACTGACAATAAAAAGGCAAAGTCCATCCATGTAGCCAAACAGCTGTGGAGGGCAAGTGCTCCAATTAAGGAAGGCACAACACATCATGATGGCGGGTGGTGGGATGGGCAGACCAACACCAACCACCCCCGACCGTATTTGTCTCCCCAGTGCCAGGTAGGGTTTTCACCTGCAATAAACAAAGATCCCCCGTGTAGCCTGGAAAGACTGTTGGGGCAAGTGCTGTTATCGACCAACTATGAAGGCCAGCACGGCACACGAGGCGGCGAGTGGCCAGCACGACGCCCGGCCGCCTTTGTCTCCCAAGTGGCAATGTTTACATCCCGCACAAGGTACTTATTTTAAGCTGAGTCGACCTACGGGAGGCCCAGGACGGGTTCAGATAATCGAGGGACTATCGCTTCCCATTCAACAGATATTCATCCTCAAAGGTCAAACCGCACACGTGTATCAGGTCACGTGTGGTAGGCATAGGCCAGTGCCAACGTATTGTAGTGACTCATCATCATCATCATCATCACCGCGAATGTAATAACGAAAGGTCAGATATTAATAGCATTAACCCATTGTTGGCCGTGTGTCCGTGACTCCGTCTAGCGATCTAAAATCTGCTCCGCATGTCTGTCTGGCTCTCTGTGTCTCTGTGTCTGACCGTCTCCTTGGCACGGGTGTGAACTCCCGCATCCTCCATCCCCTGACATCGTCACCCCGTGGTTGTTCCCCAGCGCAGTTGCACGGCCTGCACCATCGCCACCCACGCCGCTGTCTGCCTCTCTCCGTCTCGCTCAGCCTACGCCTCTCTCCTCTCGTGCCGACGACTCTCTTTGTCACTTTCCTCGTGTTTCTCCATCACTGTGTCACTCCTGCGTCTGTCTCCGTGCCTCTCTGACCATTCTCCTCCCTTGACACCACCACCATCATCATCACCACCATCATCATCACCACCATCATCACCACCATCACCCCCATCATCATCACCACCATCATCATCACCACCACCACCATCATCACCACCATCACCACCATCATCATCACCACTATCATCACCATCATCACCACAATCACCATCACCACACTATGATCATCACCACCACACATCATCACCACCACATATCATCACCACATCACCATCATAACCACATCACCATCAACACAAATCATCATCACCACAGATCATCACCACACATTATCACCACACCGTCATCACCACACATCATCATCACCACACACCATCATCATCACCACCACACATCATCATCGCGCGCTCGTTGAGCCCTGTCCGCTCTCACCATCTTCGTCCACCTCGTCAATCATCTCCTGGAGCTCGTCTGGCGAGGGGTTCTGCCCCAACATTCGCAGCACCTTCCCCAGCTCCTTGGTGCTGATGCAGCCATCCTCGGCGTCTTGCACGAAGATGTCAAAGGCGGCCCGGAATTCTGCACCACACATCATCACCACCATTATCATCGTCAGCATGAGTCATGGTCAATCCACTGCTGGATCAAGAAGGCCTCCCCAAGATGTCGCTAAACCCCCGTGGCCCTGTGATGTGAAACTTCGCCCAGCGCCTGCAGCAGCCGAGCCGATGTCATCATTTCATCGCTACAGACATCGTCAGCAACATCGGCTTCTTCATCGTTATCATCATCATCATCATCAGCAGCAGCAGCGGAAATTTTGTGTCTATCGAGCGCTAATAATCCAGGGTGCGCGGCGGTCCGCGCGCTGCCCTGTGAACTTGGCGAAACCGAGTTCGATTCTCAGCCATGGCTAGTGGCGAGTGTTGTATCAGCCGCTGCTGATGCCCCAACGTCACCAACCCGCACCGAGCAGCGTGCTATGGAATGGGTGAAGCATCCCCTGTGAACTGCACGACGTGGTGAGGCTCTGACATCCAGCAGTCGATCCGCTGCTGGATGAACGAACAAAAGCGACGCAGACCGTTCCAGAAAATAAATCCCCACTAAAGAATCTGGTTTCTAATCAAATAATAATAATAATCCTGTTGAGTCAGGCATAACAATGAATCAGTGACAATTCATCACATAGCTGGCGTGGATGCGTGTCTGGTATTGTGTCGAGGGGGTGGGTAGTGGGTAGTGGGTGGTGGTGGTGGCGGCTGTATGAATGGACACGAATCTGGCTCGTGTCCCGCTTGGGGTGAAGTGGCCGCCCAGGGACAAAGCTGGCGTCGGATTCTGCTATTCGTGACGCGTCGCTCTCTCGCTCTCTCTCTCTCTCTCTCATGGGCGTACAAGGACAGAGAGCTCGAGGGTCTGGCCGTTTTGGGACAGGGAGGGGGGGGAACTACGGTCCCTGATGTACCCTGAGTGCCCCACGCTCATGTGCGTCTGTGTCAGTGTGTGCGCGTGCGTAAGTGAATGTGTACGCTCACGGCCACTATCAGCTCGAGCCGGTGGCATGCGGAGTGTGTGCTGATTTTAGCCCGAACAAAAACAAACGCAGATATGCGATTCGAGTTCGATAGACACGTGGTGAGGTATGGTCAGACATGCAGCAATGGATTGACAGCAGCGCTGACGTTTAATCTAAGGGTTGTCACTCACTGCATTAAACATCAAAGTCCAGCTCTGAGAATTAAATCAAAAATAACCTTTGGCTGATTCCCCGGGCGACAAGCACTCTTTGCAGGGCACGTGCAAGGGGCGCTCCTGACACGTGGTGGGTGACGTCACAATGCTTCCTACGACGAGTCCCACATGTGCAATGTCAAACATAATTGCGCGAGAGAGAGAGAGAGAGAGATACTTTACCTTTTTTTTGCTCTTCCGTCAGCTGCTCTACCTGTCGGACACACACACACACCCAGCCGCACACAGTCAAAGGTCAAATCGACATCCACACAACATTAAGCAGAATATATACGCAGGATGGACGGTAAGTCCATATACCCCGTTACTTATGTGGGCATGGTGACATCAGTTAAAATGGGGTATAGGTATTCTCGCCCAGCTTATCTAATACTATGCAAAGGCATACACATTGTATGTATGTTGTTTCTACATGTGTCTGTATCTCTAGACGCTGTACAACGCATGTGGCGGCTTGCGTGTACTGTATTGGAAGCAGGGAAAAGTGAGTAATTTGTTATTTATAACGGACAGCAAAAGCATGGCAAAGTAGCAATTGAAAGGAGGACTTTGAACATCATGGGGAGGGGACACATTTAGAAACTAAAGTACACATTCCGAAACGAGACTTAATTGACGGAGCAAAAGAAAGCGGACTGTCGGCTGGCCAGAATCATGGAACAAGGACTCTGGGATGACCGACGGGCGAGGTCAGCAAAGGGATCGTGAATGTATGTTGAGCTTCTTTGACAACATGACGCAGCCGACCGTGCTAATCGGAGGTGCCAACAAGAGCGAATGTGGAGAGAGGTGGACACAAGAAGCGGTGCTGGGATGCAATCCGAAGTCTCTTTTTTTTTGGAGCGAACTGGATGAAGGTGGCAAGAGATTGTGGATTCGTGGCAGACACCGGGGGAGGGGGAGTAAGTGTGTGGGGGGGTGCGATTATGAAGACCAAGGAGTCACCAAGAGAGAGGTGAATGAAGCTCCAGGGTGGGGAGGGAGACTGAGAACAATTGGGGTGGTAATCTTACGGAGGAGGAGGAGGAGGAGGAGGAGAAGAGGGGGTATTGGCGTGGACTTTAATTCGGGGCGAATGTGCTACCAGCAGCTGACGTTAGCGCGCTTCGAGAGAGCAGGTTGACTTGACATCACCGGCTACCGTGGGAGGCAGGAGGGTGCAGTGGAGGTCGCTGTTCGCCGGAACGGTGCGAATTTGTTCACGCGGATAATGTGTGTCTGTTGATGCATCGCATGTTCTCCACGGGAACCCACTCAACTCAAGCCCACGGTCTTTATATGTATACCGAGCGCATGCTTTGGTAGCCTGATTGTTCATTAAAGAAAAAGAACGCGAGGCGTTAGATATCCTCGGATGAAATCGTTTATACCGAGAATTACGATGCAGCGCCGGACGATTTTTGAATGGGATATTAATTTACCCAGCGCTCGCAGACTCGGCAATTGATCAACCGCTCATCTTCATGAAATATAATTCGGCTTGACAAATAGCGTTGCCGTGACCCAGCCGCTACGACGCCATGACCCAGCCTCTACGTTGTTGTCGGTTGATTTCCTCGCATCAACCAGCGCTTTTATTGTTTTATCTCCCACACACAAAACATCATTGTTTAAGCGCCTAATCTGTGCCTGTGCACAACTGTCAACTCAGCAGCAGCAGCAGCATCAAGATGGCTTATCACCTGGGTGGCACACCGCGCCACTTGCCCGCTTATCCTGAATCTGATTCCTGCCCACGGATATCGTAGGCGGTGATTGACGTCTGAACCAGGGCTGGGGTACTCCCCTTCAATTGCACCGACCAACGGGGTGAAGTATGGTCAAACAAGGCGCATGGATGACACAATATGGGGAAGACTTCAATCATCAGCGGATTGATAAGGGACTGTGCGTTATATTTAATGCCCCCGTGCTTTCAGGACTATGTTGGCACGGAGGCAAATTATGCTGCAATGCAAACGCTAAATATCTTAGCAACATATTGATTCCAGCTGGTGGCTCTTTATCCATGATTTATATTTGTCGTCTGTTTGTCAATCCACTGCTGGATGGAAGCCCCGCGCCCCCCTCCCCCCACACCGTGTAGGTCACGGGCATTGTTTGACCATACTTCACCACGCTGGTCTGGTTCGTCAAGTTGGCGTCTAGGACCAGTTCATGCATCACTCGCCACTGATGTGAACCGTGGCCAGAAATCGAACTCTGGCCACCGGGTTCACGGTCCGTGAATTACTCCTTGAACCTTGATCAACGTAAACACGTGGGAGAATGGTACAATATGTCCTCAAACTTTTTCGCAAGACTGTGGGTTGTGAATTGCACGGACAAGGAAAGGGGGTGATTGGCAATGTTAAAACATTACAGTGATAACAACAACAACAACAAACACGACGAGGCATTTGGTCAATGGAATGCTCGTGCAAACATTTAAACAAACAACAACAACGACGACGGCATTTGCTTATTTATTTATTTTCCAGGAAAATCTTCAGTGACGCTCGACGCTTTTTCGGGAGGGTTTCTGCGTCGAAGTGAGTGGCCAAGTGACACCGCTACACTCGGGCGCGTGAGCGCGCACACAGCAGCTGGGCCGGGCTGTACGAGGTCATTGTTCACTCGTGGGAGCAAAGCTTAGAGAGGGGGGGGGGTTATTTTCCTGCTCCCGTGCGAGTGTGGCGCGTTGCCTCCCTGTGCGATGTCCCTGTGGCTGCCGCCACTGCCGCCAGCCTTGGGCTGTGGCCGTCTGCCTAACAGAGCTGCTCATCTCAATGGATGCGGGGGAGATGAACGAGTCTGATTCAGAATATAATAACCGATTCAGACAATATATAAATGTGCCGTTAAGCCCGCCACCACCGACACAGTCAATTAGTAAGGTTTGTCACGTAAACAGAACGTGCCAATTCGTTACTCGTACAGCATGTGTTGGAGAGTAAAGCCACAACGTTTACACTATGAGTACGACGTTTCGAGAGTAATTATAACTAGCTTCATCAGGCGACAGCCAAACTTGTATTATGGATGATATTGGTGGCGAAAGCCTACGTGTTAAACTGATTGTCCTGCTATATTCACCTGCAGGGCTGCCTTGTAGCTGTCTTGTCATGTCTAACACGTGCAACTCTGACGTCACAAGCGCTACGTCATTCTCTTCAACGGTGCACCACGTTCGATGACAGCCATCGCTGCAACCCGTTCACTTGCCACGAGTCGCATCTTCTAAACAAGCCCTTTCGCCGCAATGGGCTCATGTCTGGCTAAAGTACAAATAATAATAAAATAATAAGAACGTGCTTTTGTTATTTAAGTATTATCACTTCATGCAAGCCTCGCCGAGTCGACACGAGGGTGCCTGCCACATCGGGGCGTGTGGCCAATCCGAATTGAGAGTTTTGCACGCGGGAGGAAGCCAGAGACAACCCACGACAGGTACTAGGTGATATCACTCAAAGCTCCGCACAGATGAATTCAAGAATACGCCTGCTGAACTGCCACGCCCTGACTACCTAGCAAGTGGTGGCGAGATGTTAGCTCCATCGCCTGGTAGGCAGGAAGTCGTCGGTTCGATCCCGGACCCTGACGATGCCTGCTGTATATCTGGAATTCGCGTGTTCTCTCTCTCCCCGGGGTCGTGTGGATTTTTTTAGGGTTCCTCACGTTTTTCCCTCCGCGTTAAGCATCGTCCATTTAGATGATTTGGCCACTACTATACATTTTCACGTGTGGTGATGATGATGATGATGATATAAGCCATGCTAAGTCGCCTCTAAAAATAGCTAATAGCTCAGTGGGCTTTACCTGCGAAATTAAATAGTTTCGTTAATTATATACACTCAATACCATTTATTACTCTGGGAAAGCCGCACTGAGTCTCAATAATTTATCAGCGGGGTCCTACATTTGTATGTTCAGCCAATTTTCATTTACGTATGAGTCTCTTGGTTGTATACAATAGTATATATGATACCACCTGTCCTAAGCATGTGCGTTATAGTGCGCCTGCATTAAACGTATGCTGACTCCATTGTGCAGCGGTATTTAGGGAGCCCCTTTGCATGGGTATTCTACGGCTCAATTCTCTCGAGAATTCTGTAGATTTCCCAGTCAGCGTGGCCGCTCAGCTGGGTCGTAGCTGCAGCGAAGTGAACTTTACACGCTGGTGCCACAGTCGAATACTGCCAGCTTGCAACACTTCACAAAATGCAACGCTACCAGTGTGGCGTTGCCACCTGTCCTGGTTTTCCCATAATTGTCCTCTTGTGGAGGAAGCTGTCTCGGGAAATCTGTAATTCGTCCCAGGACATTAAAAGTCCCGGTTTTTTTTTTGTCAGATGTGTATTAACACACCATTGAAGACACCGCGTGGACACCTGGCTCTACCCCTTCATGGAACATGAGATATTCTTCTATTACATGATACATCCTGGCTTTATTGTACCTGAGAGATGACTGCCCAGAGCCTGGAGCACCTTGTGCAACGGCGTTGCTCTTAAATCGTATTAACCCGTAGTCGAGCATCATCAATGAGAGACGTTGTTCTGAAATGCCCCCATCGCATCACATGCTCACCTATGATACCTGTGTTTGTGTGCGTGCGTGTGTGCGTGTGGGTCACTCACGGCCGCTCTATCCACGTCTTCCGCCATGGCTGCCCGGTCCGATTTGTTTCGTGGGCAGTACGGGAGCGGCGCGGGAGGTGCCCTGGCTTATATAGCGTCCTTCCCGCCCCTGCCCTTCGCTACCCTGCACTGCCCTCCCCTGCCCTGTCCCATCGCGCCCGTCCAATTACCCCACCCACCAACCAAACCCTTCCTCCCTCTCGGTGCCACAGACACCCCCTCCCCACCTCGCCCCCACCCTCCAAACGCTTCCCGGTAGAAATCAACCACGACAGAGACTGATATGGGCATAGGCTGGTGCACAGGAACGCGCGACACGCACGCGCCCGGCGTCGCCAGCCAACGCCACTGGGGTCTGTGCAGAGGAAGGGACCCGCGCGGTGTAGGGGTGGGGGTCTCGGCCACCCTAACGAATTTTGGGGGTCCCTGAAGGGACAGCATTGATAGGTATGAGCACCCCCACCCCCCCGTCTAAGCCATCCGGCCCAACACGCATTCGCACACGTATGTGCATGTGCTGTTATGTGTATGCGTGTCGTGACGACAGGTGGGGAGCGTGACGTTGATGATGGAGGTGCCGTTCGAGTTGCTACTGCTTTTGTGGGTTTCCTGTTTCTATTGCTGGTGGTGATGGTGGTGATGGTGGTGATGGTGCTGGTGGTGGTGATGGTGGTGATGGTGGTGATGGTGGTGCTGGTGATGGTGGTGATGGTGGTGCTGGTGGTGATGGTGGTGGTGATGGTGATGGTGGTGATGGTGGTGATGGTGGTGATGGTGATATTCGTGCTTCTACTGCTGATGGTGCATGGCCGTGGCAGGATGCGAGCGAACCCTACAAATGTAATCGGTCGAAATCAAATTCTCTTTTACCTCCACCGATTTGCAAAGCCACGGCTGACATCAGTGGCGAGTGGTGTCTGAACCGATGATGGGTACCCGAACAAAGCAGCGTGGTGCAGTATGGTCAAGCAGCGCCATGACTGATTCGGCATGGGAATGCCTTCATTCGGCAGTAGATTGACTCGTTATTATTATCGACATGTATCGAGACATCATAACATGTGTATTTGCTGGCACGTGATGCGTGTGGTGTGTGAATGTGTTGCGATGCAGCAACAACAACAACAACCCGTCTGGCTCCTGCGAGTCCACGGGTCGGGAACCTGCAGACCCGTGGACTCTCTAAGGGCCTCTTCGTCGCGTTCTTCACTTTGCATTGCGGCTCTTGAAATATTGAGTTGGTTTTTTTTGACCGAATGAGAACAAAAAAATATTTTCTTGTTATTTTAGGTGCCGACCCCTGAACTTAGATGGATCGTTGCATCTCAAGAACGTGAGAGATGGTAGCGAGCTCTGGGGGCTGGGAGGGAGGGTATGTCCATCCCACAGTGGATAGATCATGGCTAACGATGATTGATGGTGACAGCTATTGCACTGATACGCGTGGATATTAATGGGACTGTGACCATTCTTCGTCCAAAAGCGGCAGGCAATGCGGATCCCGACTGCTTTTGTTGAGATCCCGAATAGAAATGTCAGTCATTGGAAATAGATGTAGTTATTTATTTAATATCGGGTCTCCGTTGAAAAAAATACGGCTGGACCCTACGATCGCCTCTCACTTCTCCACTGCAGCAACGAAGACCCTCCGGTCAGAGCCCCCCACCCCCTCCCCATACAGCAGCGGCACACCCAGTGCCGGATTATCCGAGTAGCACAAGTAGCTACAAATGTAGCTACTACTACTACATGTGTAGTAGCTACTACTACATGTGTAGTAGCTACTACTACATATGTAGTAGCTACGGACCCCGCCCTTTCAAGGGCCCCTCGCTAAATGCGTTCAAGCTATCAATTCAGGTTCAGTGATTCTGCACTTGCTCTATTACTATAGTACTACACCGCCTTCAACTTTTACGAACGACTGGGTGTTTAAGGTTAGCGATTTGTCGTATTATCTGGCTGTATAGCAAATACATAAAAACAAATACTTTACTGTGCAAGTTTTTAAAAATTATGCGTTTTAATATTAATGTTTTTTTTTATTATTTGGGACCCCTTTATAACATCATGCTACAGGCCCCGCACTAGCTTAATCCGGCACTGGGCACCCCTGTCCCTTACTTAGCGACGAACAGTACTTTCAAATATCGTGTTGGTGGGTTAATCACACATTAGCACAAAGATTCCCACGTAGAGCCTAAACAGACTTTTGAAGGTCGGCACGGCACACGAAGGGAGTGTGGCCAGCACCACGCCCGGCCGCCTTTGTCTCCCTGGTGACGATGTTTACACACCGCACCAGGTACCGGTCCAGATAATCGTCACTGGTTCTGACCGGTGAGCTGGAATCGAACCCGGATCGCCCGGGTTAGCCGAGTCCGTAGTGCAGCGCGCTCACCACTGCACTACCGCTCCTTCCACATAAGCACACACGCACCTTATACGCACTTCTGTCAATACAAGAGGCCCTTTGCAGTGACGGGAGTGACTAAGCTCTAAACACCATACAATTAGAAACACGGCGTTGTTCTCAAGTAGAAAATGTCCCCCTCCCCTTCTAGTACCCGATTAGTGCGGCTAATATGCTTGCAGCGACGGATGATTATTGTTTGCGGGGCATTTAACAGTGGCAGTCCTCATTTGGCCGCGGTCCGCATGGAGGTAATTTACGGGATGTAGCTCCCCCAGCCCTGCTCCATGTCCATTTCCCACCTCTGACTGTCCGCAGCTGTATTCTTGGTTCTTTCGGTAAAGTCACGTAGAAGGGAAATAATAAAATAATACAAATATAAAACAATAAAAATTCTCACGACGTTTCGACTGAAACACAAGCAATCATCATCAGGTGTGAAATTATTATTTCCCTTCTACGTGACTTTACCGAAATAACCAATAATATGAATCCCTGCAGTCACGAAAGCTTTACATCAAAATTTTGTCCGCAGCTGCTTAAGCGATCATAGGTTTTCAAGTCCGCGCTAAAGGCCTTCCTCCCTCTTCTTCTCCTCTGCCTATTGCTGCCCTGGCCTCCACCGATTTCAATGTCTTTACCGGCACTGAGATGATATTCCCTAGCGCCCTGCATGCAATCCGTACAGGCACCACACTTCGCCTGAATGAAACGCCATCACTCATCTCTCTAAATGCCAGTCATACAACACGGCTGGAATGTTCAAACAACGCAGCTGCGAGCTCTTTGTCTCGGCGAGGGAATTCTAGATCTTAGCGACGGGGTAGTTCAATGGGGGGAGTTTGCTTAACTTCATTTTGAAATTAAATATCACGGGTCAAATGTTCAAAAGGTGCGCCGTTTCGGGATCGACCTGCGTTTGCGTTGCTCCTCCGCGGGCTACGCGGAGGAGCGTGGCGGGTCCCCGCGGCCGCTCCGGAGACCTCACTTGGAGAACCTCTGCTGTAGGCAAAGGTCGCCTAATCCGCCGCTCTATATTTGCATTGTTGACTTGATCTTACGTGGCAAAGAACTTAGCGTCGCACCACTCTTGGTGCGTCCGTCGCACGGTTCAGAACGGGAGCAGGGTTCACTGGAAACTGAGCTCAAAATAGACTCCCCCCATCTGTCCTTAGCTCTGCCTTTAATGATTCCCTCTGTTCTCCCCGTCCCGTGAGTCGTTATTCCTACACACACAGCCGTCACCGCGTAACAATACCTATGGTCTGCGTGATCAGGCGAGTGCGGCGAGGCGCTAATAAGGGCGTGAAACCGTTATTCGGGTTCGTCAATGAAATTGGTTTGTCGCGAGATTTGGGGGATGGTTTTTTTTTCTGTTTAGGCCGAATGATCGGAAAATCAGCATCGCGCTCGCGGGCCAGCTGCGTTGTCGCATCGCAGGATCGTGAGCGGTGACCTGGGGAGGAGGTCTTCATCCAGCGGTGGTGATGATGAAGACGACGACGACGACGTGGACGGATAGTGGCTGCTGATGGTGATAATGATAATGAATAATCCGCCCAAACACGATGGAACACAGGAAATTTAAATAAGAACAAAAATTCCCCCATCAAATCAGGAATAGTGCAAAAATACTAAAATCTCGTCTGTTCAGTCACAGGGCCTGTGACCAAACCGCCCGCCATATGCTGGATCTGAGGCGCTAGGAAGGGTCGATCTTGGATTGCGCTTTGGTGGAAGGCCACCACGCAGGTTGCCATAGAGCTGCGTGGCCACGTGGTGAGCGCCAGGGGGCAGTGCATCAAAATACATCGTTGTGCTGCACTTCCATACTCGCACCCTAAGCTCCCCAGCCTTCAGTCACGTGCAATGTCACGTGTGATTGTGTTTCGGGTGGCACGCGTGCCCAGATGGAAAGTGATTCGTTAGAGAACGCGAAGATATTTTAATTCTTGGAGATATTTACGGCTCATTCGATCTCGAGAGCCGTGTTGTCTCAGCGGCTTTGCGCGAGATTTACTTAAATAAACCGGAGTCAATTGTAAAATTAGTCGCGTGTCTGCAGTGGCTTTCACCAGGGGCCAGGAGATTATTGGCAGGCGAAATTAAATCGGCTCGCGTGCAGGAGCGAGACGACTTGTTTCATCGCAACATCATGAACGACAGTGAAGAGATTGGTGAGGGCCTTCAATCAGCAGTGGATAAGATCCTGGCTGACGAAGATGATGATGATTATTATTATTGAAAAGTAGTCCAAGTGTCCCCATGTTCAAACAAATGTTGACCGCCGCTCATCTCCATTGATGATCCTTAAGCAGTGAAGCAGTGGTGGTAATTCTACATTCCTATGGCTAGGGGCAGTCTCTCCACAGAGAAACCACTCTCTCGTCGGCTTAACACGAGGTTGTGGAGCCTCACCACACAGTGTTGATTTTACTGACCCCAGATGGATGATGTGCTGGATTGAACCCAAGCTGGGTGTTTAACTCATGCTCGAGATATCTGGCATTCTGGGGGTTTGAGGGGTTTTTTTTTATAAATGCGAGCTTAGCAGTGCAGAAGCAATAACAGATGTGGCTGAAGAGCGCTTTTAATCAATGTGAATCAGCTGCTGTGACATTGCTGGTTGATCGACAAAGAAACTCATCATTAAATACGTCAAGGAGCATGCTTGGAATTACACCGAGAAGCAGGAAGTTGGACACGTGGATTATAGAACATACTTCAGTATAAT